CTTTACTTTCTTTGTGCGCTGAATACTAATCATTACGTTTTCATTTGAACTCATCTTGTGTAAACTTGAATAGTTTCTCAAGCGAATTCACAATGACGGGGCTGCAGATGGAATCTGTGTCCGTCATTCTTTGTTACTCGAGTACTCGTAATAAGCGATCTGAATATGCTACTATATGAAAAAGATATTAATACAATTAACATCTTAATTATCTATATTATTTTATTGTTGCGATTTTCTTTTTCGCTTATCACAATATTTTTTCCCAATATTACGCTAATATGGCATTGATTTCCTAACGTACAATTTTCATCTTGAAGTGCTACTTATTTATATTGAAAGAAATGTATGAATTCGGTAGTATAAATTTCACTAGATTTGTTCATAGCAATTTTTCACTTCTTGAAAGATGAAACGATTTAACCTCCTGAAGCATTTAAGAACGAAGGAAAAAAATATTTTTCAGGTCTGTATTCCCTGATTTTGCAATTCAAACATGACGGTCAGCTGGATGGAATTATCTGTAAGTTTTAGAAATTGTATGAATTCAGGAATGAGGAATATTTCAAGAACAGTTACTTCATTTTCTTTTTATGGATATATTCTAAATTGCAACGATCAAAAGAGTGTCAATTCCTAGTAAAGGCTACTCGCTAATGAAGCCTACGTCTTTCATTCGTCTGGCCTCTAAACTATCTTATCGAGAACTAATGTGTTTCTGTGACAGTATCAAACTAATGGCACAAAGGAGTTTCGAACAGTTATGACACTACTGCCAACATGATTATTTCAAGAGATACTTTTTTATCGATGTAACTTGTTACGACTGTCAACGCTGAGAAGCGTGTGTCATTGGGGCAAATTACTACTTTTGACGTAAAATGTTTGTTGATACATGTAGAATCAATGAGTTCTATGTTTTTATTTTAAAATTTGCTACAATTCTCAAAATTCCCTCTTCTGATCGTTTTTGAAGCAACTACTTACTCAAATACAATTAGCGGTTAGCTATCAAAAATACCTAAATTTCGTAATAAACTTTCTCGTTAATTTTGTTGGTGGCGAAAAGGGAACGTAAATTTGTAAGGAATTATTTGGGTTTTCTGTACCTCTTGAAAACGATATTGGCACGAATTCTTAAACTTATGACTTTAAACGAACCGCTGCAAGAAAGAATACGTCTAATAGCATATCACTCCATATAAGTATTTGTTTTGTTAAGATTCGTTGCGAAAAGAATAGAAAAGAACGTCAAGTTCTAGTTGCGACAGAAATAGACCTAAAAAAGAGAGTTAAGGCAGTGCAACTTTTGATAGTACTCAATCAAAAAAAGCATGCATTTTAATTACTTCTTTTAGTAGTATAAGAGCTCACAAGTTTTGCCTTTTCATCGAACAAGATATGTATGTAAGGTCTAAGAATGGCTTACATATGGTGTTACAGGAGGAGAAAAATATAGTTAAATAAATTTATCTTTCAAATGGCCATTGTCTCCGTGCCATTATAAGTTGTGAATGAATTTCGAATTGTTTCGTTGGAGTAGCTAAATTGGATTTTCCATTCTTTTGAGCGCACATGTAACAATTAACTTTTTTATATACCTAATGAAAACAACGTGAATGTTTGTAATGTTACTCTAGATATAATGAACCCAATAACTTTCAGTTGAGTGGATAGATATTTTCCATTTCATTGAAATCTGATTCTGAATCTGCTTGGAGAAAATTTGGCTGTCTAAAAACCAACGTGTTCTGAGCAAAGATGTCAAGAAACAATTGCCTCGGAGTCCCCTTCTCGGACAGGTAATTTAAGGTATCTCCTGCATTGGATGTCTCCTATATCGAAGAAAAATTATAAGAAAAACTTTATGCTCAAATCCTTAGTTCTTGACTTACTATTAAACAATGTGCGTAATTTAAACGGTTTCGGTTATCTCATTCTAAAAAGTCGTGTCTTTTCTTGAACAAGTTCTCCTTTACATCCATAGATTGACCGCAGCTTATAATGATCCACTCTTATATAACATCACTAGTCTGTATTTTTTACCTCACCAGATTTACATGTTATTTATTCAATATTATGTTTGAAAAATCCAAAAATTGCAATAGAGTAACTTTTACTTCGAGATTTTGGTATCAAGATATCCCTTGATACATTAATTTGCTCAAAGCTATTGTCGGTATCTTCTCTTGAAAAACTAGCCCCGTTTTGCGTTCAATCAACCTGTTTAGTTACCGCATGCTCATTTCATTTATTCTGATGATTTCAGCTACTATCTAAAGATCTTCTTCTTTAAATCCATTCCTAAGGTTCAATTACTGAAAAAGTATTATGATTTACATCTGCGATCCCTGAAAACTGTCTATTGAGCATTTATAAATTGTATCTGACATGAATTGCAGTTCTATAATCTTCCATTTCACATTTTAGTTACCAAATCATTTCTAAAGTCTCTTTGGCAAGTATCTCTTTCTTTTCTAAAAATATGCTTCTCTCTATGCATCACAAGCCCTCGAAGTCAGACACATGAAATGATGCGTCAGCAAAAAAATCCGATTCCGTTTTATACATTTTCTTTCTGTCTTTTGTCAAATATTTAGTGCATATTTTGAACACTACAGTTCTATTGACAATCCTGAATACCATTACCATTCTACACATCAATCACTGCACCATCCACATGAATCCTAATCCATACGACTCAGTGCTGTACTATGCAGCCACCCCAAAAACATCTACTTGCGTGAACATCAGACACACACCCTACAGCCGAGGCATCTGTAATAACAATTTTTTTTAAAGTTTCTTGAATCAGCGGCCACATTCACACTCAGCAGCACTCAATAATATAAAATAAATACTTTTCATAATTTGCACAATATCAGCATCTGCCCAACAGCCTTAAGCTGTCAGTTGACAGTGTCGCCACTCACCACACCATCGACCAGGTCTGCTCTGGATCAACAGAAAAATCCGCCACAACAAAAAAAGTTAAATTCGGCAACCTCCTTTTCTCTGCATCCTCATCACACAATCCGTCAGATCCGCGCTGGATCTACATAAAATTCTTCGTATAATGCCTCCACAATGAAATAAATTCAACCTAGCAGCTTCCTTGCTCCACTTTGCAACGTAGCTCTGACTAGTTCTATCCACTACTTCACTAGCGAAACGGCCGTCCCGATTCTAACCATAGTCCCCGCTGTTGAAGCCTTCGCCGTTGCAGCAGCCATCGCCCTTTCAGCCATCGCCGTTTCAGCCATCGCCGTTTCAGCCATCGCCGTTTCAGCCATGCGCCGTTGCAGCCATCCGCCGGTCCACCATCGCCGATCCAGCCATCGCCGATTTTCAGCCACGCGATCCAGCATCAGCCATTTCAGCCATACCGCGTTTCAGCATGCCGTTAACAGCATCGCCGTTTCAGCCTTCGCCGATCCAGCAATGCCGTTGCAGCCATTCGCCGTTACATAGCTCGCGTTTCAGCTCGCCGATCCAGCGCAATCCGTTGCAGCATCGCGGGTTGCAGGCCATCACCAGTTTCAGCCATCGATTTTCAAGCATGCGCCGTTGCAGCATAGCGTTTCAGACATCCGCCCGTTTCAGACATCGCCGTTTCAGACATCGCCGTTTTCAGACATGCCCGTTTTCAGACATCGCGTTTTCAGACATCGCCCCGTTTCAGACATCGCGTTTCAGACATCGCCGTTCAGCAATCGCCGATCCAGCATGCCGTTGCACGCCATCGCCGTTCCAGACATCGCCATTTCAACCATACGCCATTTCGTATCAACCGTTTCAGCATCGCCGTTTCAGCATCGCGGTTGCAGCACATCGCCGATCGCCATCGCCGAATCCAGCACGCCGATCCAGCAACGCGATCCAGCAACGCCGATCCAGCCAACGCCGTTGCAGCCAATCCCGTTTACTGGCCATCGCCGTTTCAGCCATCGCCGTTTCAACTTCGCCGTTCAGCGCTTCGCCGATCCGCGATCCCCGTTGCAGCCATGCGCCGTTGCAGCCATGCGTTCAGACATCGGGGCGGTTTCAGCATCGCGTTCAGGCATCGCCATTTCAGCCACGCATTTCAGCATGGCCATTTAGCTATCCACCCGTTTCAGCCATTCGCCGTTTCAGCATGCCGGTTCAACCAGGCCCATCGCCGTTTCAGCCATCGCGTTCAGCCATCGCGTTGCAGCTGCGATCGCATCGCCGATCCAGCAACCCGCTCAGCACGCGATCAGCCAACGCCGATCCAGCGCAACGCGTTGCAAGCCATCGTTACAGGCCATCGCCGTTTCAGCATCGCCGTTTCACCTTCGCCGTTTTCAGGCTTCGCCGATCCAGCGAATCCCGTTGGCAGCATCGCCGTTGCAGCATCGCCGTTTCAGACATCGCCGTTTCAGCCATCGCCGTTCATGCCATCGCATTTATGCATCGCCTATTAACAGCATCGCCATTTAGGCTATCACCGTTTCAGCCATCGCGTTTTCAGCCATCGCCGTTTCAGCATCGCGTTTCAGCCATCGCCGTTTCCGCCATCGCCGTTCAAGCCCTGCCATTTTCAGCCATCGCCATTCAGCATCACCCGTTGCAGGCATCGGGGCGGGGTTCAGCATCGGCCGTTGCAGGGGCATCGCGATCAGCCATCGGCATTTCAGCCATACGCATTTCAGCTATCACCGTCAGCCATCCCGCCTTTCAGCCATCGCGTTGCAGCTCGCCGTTGCAGCATCGCCGTTGCAGTGCATCGCCGCGGCGCCGCGCAGCAACCTCAGCAGCCGGCGCGGCGCGGCGGGCGCGGGCGCGGGGCGTGGGCGGGCGAGCGGGACGCTAGTCGTCGCCCATCTCGCAGCTGTGGTATCTTGGAGGAGGTCTCTAGCCAGCTCTCGCGCCGTTTGGCGACGCCAGGTCGTCGCCGGAGGGCAGCGAAGCGCAGGGGCTCCAGCTCGCTGCACAGCGGCGTTGGGCAGCGCGGCCGCCCGGCCGGCCTCCCGGCCCACGCTCACCTCCGCCAGCACTATCCCCGCCGGCCCGTTCTCCTTGGGGCACAGCCGCTCCCGGCTGCTGAACACTGCGCACACCACACGCACCCTACAGCAGCGGCCAGCAATGGCGCGCCACGCCGCTGGCAGACACGAGCCAGATCTCTGAATTACTCTCTTACAGACTTTCTACTTTTGTTTCTTTCATACTTAGTTAAGGCCGTTTTCAAACACTAAGGTCACATGAGGAGCAACTAATCAAAACTCATATTGTCCACTGATGGGAAAAATGCGTTAGAAATGATATTGTGGAGCTTGTAATAAGTTCTACTCTTCGTTCATTCAGATTTTTTCAAAACGCATATTACCAAATTAATTTAAATGCGTTTTGAAGAAATATGAAATTAGGAACGTATCAACAACTACACGATTTCATATCAAATTCAATTTTTCCCATCAGTGAACAATATGTTCTGATTAGTTGTTCCTCATATAGCGATTACTGAAAGTAGAAAAGATCGTCTAAGAAGGGACCCGTTTTACAGGTCGGAAAACAAAAGAAAGAGGTTTTGGACAATGATATTGTCAGAAGTTGTGACGAACGCATTGACAAGTGAACCAACTGCAAACGAACATTAACTTTTTGAGCACATGGGCATAATCTACAGTTACGCTGCCAGTGGCGACCAAGCAGAAACTGTCCAAGTGGTTCCTTCTCATGATAATCTCTCTATAATATTGAGGTAACGGTAACGGTATTACAGTAAATGTTGGTGTACATTGTTGGTTTTCTCTACGAAATTCCCAAGATATTTATTTGGCGAAACTGCAAGGAAAGTTTAATATGTTTCAAAAGTGCATCAATTGCTTCACAGAATGACTACTTGACGTTTAGAAAACATACTTGGTGGCGACGATGGTGTAACGGATAAGCGTATTGGACTGTTACACCCAAATTAGCGGCTTCATAGCCGATCAGAGCAGTGGATATTTAAGGGCATGCGGTAGTTGTTTTTGCGTGATCAGACGGAAAAGCGGGCCTGCTGGCCTGAGTCCCACCACGTAAAATAAAGCATCAATTCAATTCAATAATTCTGATAATACGTAGCAAATAGAAAGTAAATTCAGAGATCTGGTTACTTTTTTAAGTAAATACATAACAAATATCATAAAGCACGCCAAAAGGGTTTGGAGTTTAAGAGGATCTTTCCGGAACGGGAATAACCTATTACATAACTTTATATTATTTAAAATTATTCAAGAAGCCTGGGTGCACTTTAATTTTTGTATTGTTAGCATTTTATTTGTCAAAGTTTAAATGTTAATTTTTACGTTTGTGCACGTTCACCTCCATTTTCGATTGAAGAGATAATATTCTTGCGTGTGTTCTCGCTTGCGTTTAGTTGTGACTATACAAATGTGAGTTGTTGCAAGATATAAGCCATTGGTGTAGTGCATACAATACCAACTTTCTAACTGTGCAGTGCTTCAGCATGGGGACTCTAATAAATATTTATAACAAACCTTGAAGAAGGTCCAAAACCGGGACTGAAACAAAAATAAAATTAAGGTTATTGCCTACACGCAAGAATTTTATTTCTTTAATCTATGTCACATCTGTGTAAGCCTTCCAACCAGATGAAAATGAATAACAAGACAGACATGTCAGCATGACAACTTCTCTGAGAGTACTAGCCAAAAGGAAGAATATTCGTAGGTCTCTATATTAACTGTCATTTTTGCTTATATTCTCGCTTACGAATATGAGAAAATTGGCTATACATTTTCCTGTTTCGAAACGAAAAGAAGACTGCTGTGCACTTGTTTTACTACACTTGTCATTGAACACAATACGATGCACGATGGAGGAAGGAAATCCCATAATACAATAAAATTGGTGCATTTGGAAGATTAACCAATTAATAGTACAGTTTTTAACGGACGGTTTTTGACTCTTTACATCAATATCTTGGCTATTGCGTTCTTGTTTATTCGAAATAATTGTGATTCTTCATTTGGTTGAAATCATACTTGAATTATCAAGAAAAAAAAACAACAACTATTGATTAAATTGCAAAAAATAAAATAATACTTCCTTTCTTTGAGAAAGCTAATATAAAATTTCAGACCTAACTACATACAGATATGCAATGAATAAAACGTAATTTGCGTACAAATCGCAAGCGTGTTAGAGCCTGATATTTACAAATCGGGGGTACGCTGTTCTCACAGGTAGGTGAGACAAATGAATTTTAACACGGGGGACACGGTACGTCCGAAAACCTTAATGAAGTGAATACAATTTCAAAGTGTAATTCTAAGTAAAAACTGTACTACAAACATTTTTTAACTTCTCTTTAAATATTGTCAGCAAAGTATACAAAATATTTTTCAAAACGATGTGAAAGTGATGCATATTATTACTTAACCAAAAAGTGATATGTATTTCAAAATATTTTTTAAAATATTATTCAATATTTTTTAAAAATTAAAAGTATTAATTAGTATTCTGAAGCAGTGCAGAAAGTTTACAAAAAGTTCGAGAAGATTCAACAAAAGAGTGATTTGTGATTGTGTAGAAAGAAGTATGAAGCGTATAGAAAAGTAAAATAAATGTAAGATTGAAAATTAAGAAGTACGAGTACTATTTGTTAAAATACCCGACCTGCTGTATTTCACTTTCATTGTCTCGTTTTCTAAAACTTGGTTTACTTCTGACATACCATTCCACCCCAAACCCCCCTCACATCTTAACAGCACGAGTGTAGGAGTAACTAAAACCTCACAAAAACCGACAGCAGGGCATTCACACTTTCCGAAGACTTCTTAGTAACAAAAAAAAGCCTCTCTTCCAAAAAGTATTTGACAAGTGTCGCCCCACAAACTTTTCAGCGAAATCGCGAACCCATACGAGACAAGCAGGAAATACGACTCGGAGTTTAAGAAATAGGAAACGAAGTCTAGGTCGTAAAGAGCGCCCTAGAACGAAAGTTCACTGCGCCGCGCGTCCCCGACCGCCCATCGCCCATCGCGGGCGAGGGGCGGGCGCGGGCGAGAGCTTCGAAACGACGCAAAAACGACTTTCGCGTCTAATGGTCTCGGGACAATAACCGCCCTTAACGACGCCTCCACGGAAAAAGCGCGTGGCCGGCCGAGCCTGGTCAATGCTGCCGACGCACGGACGCAGCGCCGCGAGGCAGACAGTGACAGAAACACACACACACACACACACACAGACTGAGACTGAGACAGAGAAGGACGCAGAGATTAACAGACAGAAGCAGACAGAGGCACACACAGACACGGAGAATCAGGCTGAGACTGAGATAGAGAAGGATACAGAGACAGACAGACAGACAGAAGCAGACAGAGTTACACACACACAGAATGAGACTGAGATAGAGAAGGACGCAGAGATAGACAGACAAGCAGACACACACACACACACACACACACACATACACAGACACTGAGAATTAGGCTGAGACTGAGACTGATATAGAGAAGGACGCAGAGACAGAAGCAGACAGAGACACACACAGAGACACTGAGAATCAGGCTAAGACTGAGATAGAGAAGGACGCAGAGACAGACAGACAGAAGCAGACAGAGAATGAGGCTGACGTGAAGAGAAAGACGCATTGACAGTTAATAAGACTGAGTACGAAATAGACACAGAGACAGAGAATGAGGCTGAGACTGAGACGGAAAGAGAGACGGACGGATGAGAGAAAATACAGAATGAAATGTGAGTGGCAAAGAGGGAGAGGGAGAGAGAGAGAGAGAGAGAGAGAGAGAGAGAGAGAGCGTGCTGGAAATAAATAGGAGAGAGAGAGGAGGTGAGTTTGGAGGAGAGAGAGAGTGAGAGTGAGAGAGAGAGAGTGAGAGAGAGAGAGAGAAATTGGGGAAAGAGACAACGCGGGCGAGCTAGGGAGGGAGAAACTGAAGACGATAAATGAAGGCGGCTGCGGAGAAGTTTTCTCGCAAATCATGACCACCCAGTCGTAAAGCAAGGGGCCTTCTTCTGCACAACGCCCTGCGGAGTCGTGGCAATTTCCTTGGGGTTGTCAGCATTACAATTACGGGGAGCTTTAAAATGCTCTTACTCGAGGCTGGAACATAAAGTTCTCATGAATATATGTGGAATTTTGTGCCTGTATATTTATTTACTTTTTATATTCCAGTAATTCATTTATTCTATTTGCCACAGCACTGACTAATATTACGGCAATTTCATGTGGTGCAGAAATATTTCGAGAAATAACAACCACAGAAATGTTTAATATTCGTAATCGATTAAAATGGGAAGCAATTTATGTAATTCATTGCCAGAATTTGTTGATTTGATTAATTAACACTAATAACGAAATTGTGAGTAATAGTATGTCATTTTCCTCGATAAATATGTGAACTTAATGAAAAATTAAAATAATTTTGTTTTTCACTTCCGATGGAAGGATAATTTACTCAGGCGTGAATGGGATTTCGCAAAATCTCGTCTAGTATGTAATATCTATATATATAAAGCAAAATAAATATTATAACAACTTTGGTATGAGTCGTAGGAGTACTAAAACGAAGTAACAAAGGTGTAAGAGAGATTTTCAAGTAGAGAAGGAAAAATAGTCAGTGACATCTACAAACAAATGCGTGAAAATCAAAAAGAAAAAGAAAGTGAAACAAGAATAAAAAGAATGGACAAGTAAAATGAAGACGGACGGAAGGGAGAATAGGCAATTGTTAAGAGAACAGAAAGGAAGACTAATTTATTGATGTCAAATATACGCAAGTGAGGCGTGACAATATGAAAAATGAGAGACCGAAGTAACCAAACGAAAAGAAGGAAATAAAGGAAATGAATGCGAAAGAAAGGAAGGAAAAGAAGGAAATTAAGGAATCACAGCGATGGAAAGAAAAGAAGAAAGACAAAGGGAAAGAAAAGAAGAAAGACAAAGGGAAAGAAAAAGAAAGAAGGAAAAGGAAGAAGAAAAAGAAGGAAGAAAAAGGAGGTGAAAAAAGCAGGAAGAAAGAAGAAAAAGCACAGAAAAAAAAGGAATTTAGAAGAGAACAAGCCAAAGGGGAAAGCTTACAGACGTGTCAACATCAAAACGCAGGAAGGGAGGAAGCAAGAAAACTGAGAAAGCGAAGAGGTAGCGCGAAGAGGAGATTTGATGAGCGAGAAGGAAGCACAAAGACGAAGATCGACTGAGGAAGCGCGAAGAGGAGGAAAGAGAAGGAAGACAGAAGAAGAACAGTAAGCCAGAAGGAAGCACGTCGACAAAGAGCGAATGAGGTAGCGCGAGGAAGGGGAGGTCCAGTGAGAGAGAGAAGGAAGACAGAAGAGGGACAGTAAGCGAGAAGGAAGCACGAAAACGAAGAGCGAAGAGGAGGAGGTCCAGTGACAGACAGAAGGAAGCCAGAGCAGCGGGAGGCGTGTGGCTGGGCTACGCACGTGGCTCGGGCGACGTGGGGCAGATGCTGGCCAGCAGCGCGCTCTGCGTCTGCGCGCTGGCCCGGTTGGTGGCCGCGGGGCTCTTGGTCTCCGACGCCGACCCGGACCCCGCCGCCGCCGCCGCAGCCGCCGACGCCGCCGCTGCCGCCGCCGCCGCCGCGGCCGTGGCCGACGTGGACGCCATGCTGGGCAGCCTGATGTCCAGGTGCGAGCCCTTCTCCGTCACGATCTGCGCACGCAGCGGCCGTGCCCTGCTCAGACACCGCTTAGCACGGGCGCCCGCTCGTTCAGGCTTGATGGGATTGCGCCCGTAGTGGTCGGGGCTCGCCCTCTCACGCGATCTGTTCGAAACGGGAGTGCAAAGTTCGCGCTTCTGGCCCTGTTCTTTTCGTTTCGGTTTTATGGCAGGATGGGATACCCATTGCCGCGGTCATTCAGTTCTAGATGATCTCACCGTGTCAGAGACACATTTATAGCCATCTTCATGAATCTACTTTTTATTCACTGCAATACTACACCGACAGAATATTTATAATCACAATAATTAAGTAAGTAATTAAACTTGCGTCGAAAATAGTATTAAACTTGTAGAAGTAATTAAAAGAACTGATGCGTTCTAAATTAGGAGAAAACAGCATGAAAATATCAAAAATTGATAAAATGACTTCTCATTAATCCCGTTCGTTAGTCTAAAGAAAACGTAAATTATTTGAAGCCTACAGCATACATAAGATGGAAGAATAAATACGTGATATTCAATGTTATTGCCGACACACCTTTACTATTTTTGACATTTGCCTACTGATGTACCATGAGAGTTTTAGAGAAAGCAAACTTCGGGTTTTTCAACGTAAGACCAACAAAAACATTTACCACAGCGTCGGTGAACAAGAAAATAAACACATCTCAAAGAATTTTATTTCATTTCAATTCATTTTGCAATATGGATTTAATTTGAGCGGCGCCGTCAATTTTGCGGCTGAAGACAGGGATTTGTGCTCTTCACAGTGGCTGTTTTGTGAACACTCTTTACGAAAATTATACAACTTACAATATACTACTTCAACATATTTCTTCATTTAACAAAAAACGAAGTTTTTTGTGATGTGTAACTTTTATTATACACCGATGATGTATTTTTAGATTGCGGACCCATGACATCCATATCTGCACTGCGGATTTTGTTCCTTGGTGTGTGTAACACGAAAACAGCAAGTTCTCTCCGAACGGGAAAGCTTTTTTTAATTTAATATTTTTATTTGAGATCGCATCAACTTCTAGGCCATTGGCGATCACTATTGCTTGTAACGGTGTGGTAACGGTGAGGACGGCACGATATGATGATGATGATGATGATAGGGGGTGAAAGGACGAACACAATACAACCACAGACTGGACTCGAACCCGCGATCCTCTGGTCCGAGATCGCTATGTCACTTCTGCCTTAGCGAAATCGGCCTCCGGATCGGCGGGAAAGCTTTTTGGTAGGAATGGGAAGGGAAACGACTCGTTTAAATTCCGCTCTCTGCAGCAACCTCTTTCGGGTGTCAGGTCCATCTCCGGAACTGCTTCACTAACAGCGCGTCAGCAAACGCGTGTGTTTTCTACAGGTGATCTCACATACCTCGGAACAAACGCTGCTGCAATTTACACACCATGTGCAACACTGGTTGTCAAATGATCTACATTTTTTTTAAAACAAGCGATAAATCTAGAATTGTTAACACTACATTCAGATTTTTGTTTACACAAAAAAATCTTCACATCAACTTTTCTTCGTTGCTAAATTAGTTGTATAAAACTTATCTCCAATGCATCACTTCTAAAAATTCGATTATATATCATTTTTGAAAATCTCTTTTCCAACTTCACAGAAGATCTAAGTGTGTACGTTACAGAATAGATATTCGTATTTAAAATACTAATTTCGAATATGTACGTGTACATTGATGAAACACTATACAGCGTCTGCTCACGTGGGATTTGTCACTCGACATTGATTGAGAACCCTTTTAGGATTATTAATTATCCCATCCTATTACCGACTAATTCCTAATCGAAGATTATTAATATGAAATTTATTAGTTTACAAACTATTAGTCACTGGCTTTGTTAGATACCAAGGAACTCGAAAAATTACAGAAACAAGGATACAGTTTTGATTCTCACTGAAAAATGCAAATATTTGATTACTTTAATCCGCATTTTATTCACACTTGATGATACGAATACTTTCTCATAATTAAGTTATTTATTACGATACAGATGTCGTTCTGTGACCAGGGAGAATAAAGCTTCAGTATTTACGTATGTATTTTCAGTACAGGACGTTTTTGCAGCTGGAGAGCCGCATTTTCCACCCATCTGTAATATTGTTGTTGATGTAGGCTTTTGTTTAATTCTGCGGCCTGAATGAGTTACATACATTTTCTTTCAATATACTAATGATTTTCATGACTTACCACCAACATTGTGGAAGCAGGGGGCTTAGAAAGACTAGACATACTAATGGCGATGGGTAGTAGTTATGTTTGTTTCCGATGTTGCCAGTCGTTGTGAGAGGCGCTGAGAATTCACTCACAAGATTCTTGCACAGAATTGGAATAAGAAAAACTTCTACGTAAGAACTTATTATAATATTACGCATGATGCAAAAGTCCGTTGTTTATCACCTCGAAATAAATTTCACTTTCCCCAAAAACATAAACTTTGGAGGTTTGCAAATATGCATTATTTTCAAAATACTATTCGAAAAGTATTATTTGCACTAATTTGAATTAAGGCTTACGCCGGATATTTTTGACCTGAAACACGCACTTATTATTCTTTAGGTTCACAGATCACCAAACAAAAACAACGAACAATAAACTTACAAAGACTTTACTTGCGAAATTAATGAATAAACCGCGACCACATCTCACGTAAACAAGCTCCCGCTATTTAATGAGACAGAAAATACTAAATTAGCAACACTTCACAGCCACTATTGTAATTTGTTGCACTACGTGATACCTGGAGTTATTACTGTGTACCGATTCAGATGTAACGGTACGTCATATTGACAACTAAGTAATATTCAAACACAATTACGAATCACCGTTCTTCAGTAAACTTCCACTATAGAACAGTAACATTAATTGAATAAATTTTCTTTTAAAATTGAACTTACTTTAAAACTCAAATGAATTTGTTTAAATGTCACATGATGTAACTTTCTGACCAACATCCCACCAATTTCCCCTGACAAAAGCCCTTTAGCGGCGAGCGTACCTTCCGGTTCATGGCGTAGAGCTTGGTGGTGATGTCGCGCGCGATCAGCGTGGTGATGACGGTGGCGAGGTACGTCTCCTTCACGAAGAGGTACTCGAGCGCCGAGCGCTGCCAGTAGAGGTAGCGGCACGACGTGGCCGCCACGATCGACACCTTGAACTTGTCGTCGGTGGTGGCTCGACTCGACTCGAACTCGGGCGAGTCGAGGAACTCGCACGGCATGATGGGGTGCAGGAACTGGTGGTCCGACATCACGTTCACCTGCGACCGCCGTCAAACGCGCCGCCACACGCGCGTTTGTTGTTGTGGGCGATTGTTTTGCGTACGTCTTTCTAGTTGTGTTTCGTATTCGTCTTTAGGTTTGTTTTATGTACGTCTTTCTTTTTATAAATAAAAATACGTAAGATGATAATAAGTAACTTGGATATATATATATATATATATATATATATATATATATATATATATATATATATATATATATTTAAAAACGTGAAATGTGCAATATTTGAAATACATTATAAAGTAATTCATGATCAACTCTGGTAAGTCATAAATGGTTGCACATGATGAGATTTGAAGAGAAGTGTAAAAAAAACTTTATTTAAGAATACCGAAATTTCAAATATAATTATTTTAATAGCCCTGAAGATGAAATAACTTAAAATACTTACATACAGCTACGATGGATCATTTTAAGCATTGTAAAATTTGCAATATTTGCCTTTGAAAAAATTTGCCTGAAAATCTCCTTCATACTTCGGAGGGGAAGTAAAGCCGACTGTCCCATGTTAGTAGTTTCACTGCATGTAAAAGATCCTCAATCCCAAATTAAGCCTCTGAGCTAAGTTCAAATTGCATATTATGTCGCTCAAGAAATCCCTCCTTTCTCTGCTAGTTAGTGAAAGGAGCGTAACAAAATGTGCGCAGTCAGACGGAAGAGCAGACCTCATGCCTTAGTCTCGCCATGGAAAATAAGGTATCAATTCAATTCTTTACTCTAATCAGTTATCGTCAGTCGTCATTCATTGTCAGTCATTGCTATCCCTTCAGCTACGGGCTCAGCACGGTTAGATCTCCTTGGTTCCCAGACGGTCACCCATCCAGAAACCCGCGGTGTCTCGAGTTACTTAACTCCGCGACTTCTCGGAGTGTAGATTCTTGGCTATCCGGGAGACTCCGCGTCCTTGGCACAGTTGCCAACGTTTCGTCCATAATTCTGCGACCTCCCTCGCGGCGAAATATGCGGAGGAAATATGACGACCCAAACGTTGGCAACAGTGCCTCGGACGCGGCGCCTTCAGAACAGCGAAGAGTCTATTTATCCCGGCAAGGGCAGGAACAACGTTTGCGCGCTGCGTACACTCACCTTGCCCGCGAGCAGCAATCCTAGGCGGTCGGTGCGCGTGACGTTCTGCATGGCGTAGGCCTCGCCCGCGTGCAGCGACATGATCTGCGCGAAGTCCGACCCCACCATGCGCTTGAACTGCAGCCGCGACACCTGCGCATGCGCACAACGCCGCCGCCTTCAGCGCTTCACGAAGTGTGGAAACAGAAATTGAAGGGTGTGGTAGAGTGAGAAGAGTGCCGACCTGGATGGCCGAGCGTGTAAACAGAGATTGAGAGCAACAAGAATGCCGATCTGGATGAATTCTCGGCTATCCGGGAGACGCCGCGTCGTTGGCTGGGCTTTCGACTGACATGTCGCAGGCTTCCTCAGGGCAGGCTTCCCCAGCCAACGACGCGGCGTCTCCCCGATAGCCGAGAATTCATGGATTCGAGCCGCGGAAGCTTACGTATACAGCCGATCTGGATGGTCGAGGTGGCTAGAGCGTGGGCTGACTCAGCCTCTCGGTCTGAAGGGTCGTAGGCTCAACTCCCGTCATGGAGTTGTTTGTTTGTGCCTTGTCCTTCATGTATGTGTGTTGTCGCGGAAGGCCTTGTGAGTCTGACGACCGAGGAGCCCGCATGTGTGTCTTAGTGTAAAGGTTAATATATGTCCCACGAGGGTCAAAGTGGATATGCGGCGCTGATAGTCGAAATCGGCATCCCCTGAAACTGGAAAAGAGTCTGGAATATTAAAGTACAAGTCATGTATTTCCCCCCTAGTGTATAAGATACAGTGTATACACGAGCCAATTGTTTTTGTCTGCACGGTACCCTTTTGAATTGGTGCGCACGCGGTGAAGCAGTGCGCGTTTCAAGACGTAGTGCGTGGGCGGAAGCCGCCTCTAGAACCGAGTGCGTGTGTAGCGACTCTGGAACGTGACGTCGCCGCACATACTTAAGAAGGCCGCAATCCCCAGCATGATTCATGTGCAAGAGTCCAGTTCGGAGAGTGGAGTCCGGAGCGAGGAGCCCTTAAAGAGAGTGCGAGTGCACTAGTCGCCGAGCCACGGTAGTAGAGTCAGACGACGGTCAGCAGGACGAGAGCCGGGCAGTCGAGCGACGTCAAGACGGGCCGAGTGACGGGCCGAGTGAAGGGCCGAGTGAAGGGCCGAGTGAAGGGCCGAGTGAAGGGCCGAGTGAAGGGCCGAGTGACGGGCCGAGTGACGGGCCGAGTGACGGGCCGAGTGACGGGCCGAGTGACGGGGCCTGCGCCCTGTCCTTTCTAGGCAAAGCACGGGGCACAGTCGGGTGGAGGTGACCAGTGGCTACAACGTATTAGCAGCTCGCGAAAGGAGTTCACTCTAGGGGGAGTGCGAGGAAGGGACCGTAGTATTAATTAAATACAACAAGTAATTATAATTATAATAGAATCATACGCTTGTATCGTTCTATAATAATATCTATAATTGTCACCATCCCTTCAACTTGTTACGCTCGGAGAATATATTCCGCAATCGTAAAGAAATCCAAATTGTGACCACGTTACTGAGTAACAATGCGTTTTAATAATTAAATTTGTTCCAAGCAAGTTCAAAGAAGTTCGAGTCATGGTCGGGTCAACCAATTCTTTGAACAAATTTAAGTATCATAATAATCTCGTAATAAAAACCTGACGGCTTGCAAGGTTCTTATTATGTAATTTTATATATGTGTACATTCAATGCTAATTAATGGCAATTTTGTAGTCGAATTGATAAAAATGACATTGGTTAACAGTTGCTCAACACAATGTGATGTTTTTAGAGAAGTTGCACAAAATTGATTCAAGATTATGAAAATATTTCCTCCCAAACATTCGTGTCACTTGTCTTTAAAGCCATTCCGATTACATCAATTTGCTGTGATAAACAGAAGTATTTTTACATTAGATAAAAACTTTTATAAATGTCTAAATCAACATTTATTTTCATATGTTCGTATGTATGGAGCTAACACATACCAATGTTTCATTCTGACATGAAATGTCACTCACCTCAACACATCTACCGTTATCAACATTTCGTGACCCACTCCATTACTAAGCACATTTTCCAGGAACCGCGCGTCCCAAATTCATTCAAATGGCGTTTCGCGGAACTAAAGAATTCCGCGAGACATCTCTGGAAGCTCCGCAAGGAATAAGCAGAAATACGAGTGCCTAATACACGTGAATAGAGACAAAACTTCTAGAGAAATGATTTTTAACTCTCAGTAGTTCCAGGATCCCAAATTAAATTTGGTTGTTCGAAGAAAATGGATTTAGTTTCAAGAAGTGAAGTCCAAAGTAGAAATTTTAATAAATAACAAAATGCGGGTAAAACAAGTCATTTTTTTTTTTAAGTTTGAAACATCAATTCAGCTATTTCATTGTAAAGTTTATTGTTTTGCATCCAAACAGAATAAATAATGAAATATATTAATGATTTTATACAATAATTATTAGTGTGCTGTCTTTATTATGGTGAATACTTTCGATGTTCCGCAGGGATCAAATATGCACCGTACTACAATCACATCACGCGACCTCATACAATAGTTCAACCACGTGCCCACCACACACGCTCGCTCTCGCAAGATACCATCAGAGGGCGTCATCTGTCCGCAGTTTGAATTTACGAAACTTCACGCGGCATCGCCCCTCCCCCCCCCCGTCCTACGGTAGTGGGTGGGTCGCGTGACCGTTAGTCCCCGCCGCTGCCACTACGACCACCGCTCACAGCCGCCTCGACCGTCTCGCATGCCGGAAAGGGCCGGACATGGCTGCGCGGGTTAAACATGCACGCGAAAAAAGGTCAAAACCTAGATGACACGGAATTATTTCCCCACAACGACCGTGTTTACGCTGTCACGGCACCCCGCCTTCTGGACGAAAACGGCAGACGCGGCGTGGCGCGGTGAGGCGCGGTGTGGTGCGGAGACCTCAGGCGGTTCGTGGAAGAACAGAGAATAGAGAATTCGCCGTAACAAGTTGAGGTGGTACTTCTGAATGTTGGCGAGATTAAAATCTGCCCGTTTGGCTTGACGGGAGGCACTGACGGGATATTTATCCTGGGGCCGTACTCTGAAGCTATAAGAATCTATGACCTTACGCTCTGGAAATACTGCAACTGAAAAATTCACTTTCTGAAATGGAATTTATATTACGGTTAATACGTAGATAATGTGTTCGGTGTAACGCAAATCAGATATTAATTTAATATAGTGAAGATATCTAAGGCACTTGTTAATCTATAAAACAAGTAATTTGACACCCAGATTGTCTTATTTAACACATTTCATACTTGGCACACAGATTGTGATATGCATAGAAGACTTTGTTCCCTTCATAGTTTGTGACTCTCTCAAGCACGGTACTCTGAATTCGTTGCTCGAACAATGAACGGTCTGGGACAATTCTATGAACGGATGGGACGGTAGTTCAGTGATATTATTTATGGATTGGCATTTGAACACTAAATGGAAGCATCGAAGTAAAGTCAATCACGACTACCAAGAAATGCTGGTACCAGGTAATCAATACCAACAGGAACGATGTTAAACTATTTATTAATTTATTTATTTATTGGAAGATTACGAAGTATCAAGTGAAAACGTTTTTCTGACCAGGAGGTCCTAAGGTTCGAGTCCTGCCACCACTTTCACTATACTTATGGGATTAATTATCATGTTAACGGGAGAGGTGGCATCATTTGATGTCACTGCAGACTCCCTGAGCGGGAGGTCCCAACGGTAGCAGGGTTTTCTACGCTAGCTATATAGCTAGGTCGTATTCAGTCGCTCTCTGGAGCAGAATTCTAGCAGTCGGCTGCTCTGATCGGTTGTTTTCCGTGGTTTATCCGTTCAGTATACCAAGTACACGCCGGAGCTGTAACCTAAGAAATAGGCCACGGACCGCACGCGATCTCTCCTGTCCCTTCCTTGTCCTATCTTTGCCCTTACTTCCACTTACATGAACTACACAACCCTCAATACCGAGAGAGCTTAGAGCTTGTCCCGGCTGGGGCTCTGCCCCTCTGTTCAATGATATATGTTCAAGGAAAATCTCGCTAGCCAACAGGTAGGTCGGCGCCGCTTGTCTCCATCCAGTGGGAGATCATTCCCCACCTCTTTGGGGGGGAAACATGCACTGCACTTACGGGACTAATGATCATAGCAGTTGCCGCACCTGGATCACGAATAAATCAAATTATTAAAGTAGTCGAAACCTCCGGGAACACGAAATAATTAATCACGTTTGTAACGCATGAGATCAAGATTTTGCACTGACCGACATTCTTATCTTCAAGTAAAAACAAAATCGTTAAGGAGAACCTGAATGAAACATGTGCTGCGGGAAACATGCACTGCACTTACGGAAGTAATGATCATAGCAGTTGCCGCACGAGATCACTAATCAGTCAAATTAATACAGTAGTTGATATCTTCGGAGACACGAAATAATTCATAACGTTTGTGACAGATGAGATCAAGACTTTGCACTGACCGACATTCTTATCTTCAAGTAAAAACAAAATCATTAAGAAGAGTCTGAATGAAGCATGTGCAACACCCACCTTGAAGGGAAAGAACAGCACCTGGTAGGCCTCTTCCAGCTCCGGGTCGAACTTGACGGGGCGCATCTGGTAGATGATGTACACGAGCTGCCCCATGTTGAGGAGCATGAAGGTGAAGTTCCACGAGAAGACGTCGGGGGCGCAGATGACGTTCCACGCCCAGAAGGAGAAGAGCATGAAGCCTGCGGGGAGGTGGGATTTATTGACATCGGCTAAGAAATGCTTACAACATGTGAGCAGTGTGTGGGCTGTGCGTTAGCGTCTAATATTTGTACCAAATTACATCTCATCAGCTAAAATAATACAAGTTCAACACTGATGGAAGAGACCAAGAGTAATGAGTATTTTTACTTTTGCTGATTCACACATTTGTGTCATGCTGTCTTCACTCACTGTGATAAGTGTGAACCGAGTTTGTCGTTATTGGATGACGACTGTACATCTGGGTAATTGCTAAACCTTATGTAGACTTTTGTATAGAACTTCATTGAATGATAGAACAAATTAAAAATAAATTATCAATGTCAAATGGCTATTGTAAAGGTGTTCATCAGACCTGATATTGCGGTTTGAGTTTCAAGTGACAATAACGAATCTCAGTAAGTCTTCATCGGTTATAGTATTTCTACTACTCAAGTACTACTCTTCTAAAATTTTATTTACATAACTTCCATCTAAATTGCAATTGATTCTACTTTTAAATATGTGAGAATATTTTTACTTGAAATTTTTCATAATTTTGAAACCACTGAAGAAAAATATTGAATGAGTAAATTTCCTACGGATTTTGGAATAGAAGATATCTTTTTACCATGTCTATAGTTCTTTTAGTCTCTCGCCGATGTACATTTAGCAAAAAGTGTGCTATGAGTCTATTTAGTTTCAAGTGATGAAAATATAGGAGTCCAGAAGAAAAAAAACTCTTGATTTTCAAGAGCGCCTTTTTATTAGATTCAAGAGGGATTAGGAGATGAATACATTAACATGTATTCGTCTTTTGGCGAGATATTTTTCCGTCTTCCTGAGTTTTCCCTCGGCCGGATTTAAAATGGCTTCAAGACCTTTGGCCTTGCCACAAGATCAGGTTATGTATTTCATACTTGTAATATATAGCGTACGAAGTAAAATATATGCACAAACATCTTAGCTCTCCATCGAGTCGAGTATATTCTAATCCGCTTGTTGGTCAACTGTAAGCATAACGTTCACACATTTTATTTTTGTCTATCTCATCGAATTTGCTAAGAAATCCGTTTTAGCCTTCAGAGAAATGTATATAAGTGTACGTAAAATTTATTTCGACAGGAATAATGAAATTCTAATAGTATAATAATATATACAATATATTATATTCGGAAAATATTCGGAAATATACTAACAAATAAAATATGATGGGGTCCAAATTGATCCCAGCTTTGTACGAAAGTTAAGACGTTCATTCTTTTCAAAAATATATTTCTGGAAAATAGTGAAAAGGGATTCTTTCAGTCTAGCGTCGTAGCTCGGTAGCTCATCGACCGACCTGGAGGCAAAGCGCCTTCGCGGAGGGTGACCCCGCGTTATCCGTTGGAGACAAAGCGCCGGATGGCGCGAGGGTGGACCCGGGGGCGGTTGTAGAAGTTGGGGAGGGGGCATGCGCGGGG